ACCAGGACAGGGCACTTGACCAGAGCTTCCCAAAACCACTGAAGTCATAAAAACACAAGGGAAATTCTGAGAAATTCTGTCACACCCAAGAGGCACCTAAAGAACATGCTGACTAAACACCAAGTGCACTAGGGAAAACTAGAAACCGGGGAGGGAGGCGGCGGCGCACACCTTGAATCCAAATAATCGGGAAGCAGAGGCGTGCGAGATCTCTGTGTGCGAACTCTGAGTTTGAGGCCAGTCAGTCTACAGAGGGAGACCCAGGACAGCCAGGGCTACACAGAAAAGCCTGTAAATTAACGGTGGTGTAACATGGGTTCATCAGTAGTAGCACATGTGCCACAGTTAATTAGGTGTTAACAAGTAGACGAGGGGCTGGGGAATGGCTCAGTGGATAAAGTGCTTGCCCTGTGTCTTAGTTAGGGTCGCCATTGCTGTGAAGAGACACCATGACCATGGCAACTCTTACGAAGGAAAACATTTAATTGGAGTGGTGGCTTAACAGTCTCTGAGGTTTAGTCCATTATCATCACGGCAGGCAGCCTGGTGGCTGGGAGTATGGCAACGTGCAGGCGGACATAGTGCTGCCTACATCTTGATCAGAAGGCAACAGGAAATGGTTTGTCTCCTCTCGGCCTTAGCGCCATCTTCCTTGACACCCCTGCGCCATGAGAGCGAAGTGGAGGAAGAAGAGAATGCGCAGGCTGAAGCACAAGAGAAGACAGATGAGGCAGAGGTCCAAGTAAACTCGCCTGTCCACCCACGAAGGCCAAAGGAGCAGAAGTAAGGGACGCTGGAGGCCGGGACACTGGTACAAGTTGGAGTGAGCTGCAGTCGGAAGAAGTCTCTGGACCTGCGACCTTGCCACTTGCTCGCAGAGACCACTGAGAGACCACCTGCTGTCATGACAACAGCCCCGCTGGCCCTTTGCCCTGGACCTATGGTATTCTGGACTAGTTCTGTCCTCACTTGTGGCCAATTGTAACTCGTGTGCAATAAACCATCTTTGTCACTGTCAGCTGAAGAATGCAAAAAAAAGAAAGAAAGAAAGAAAAGAAAAAGAAATGGTTTGTCTCACTGGGTGTGGCTTGATCATATATTAGACCTCAAAGCCCACCTCCACAGTGACATACTTCCTCAAACAAGACCATACCTACTCCAACAAGACCACACCTCCTAATAGTGCCACTCCTTATGAGATTATGGGGGCCAATTACATTCAAACTACCACACCCTGTAAACACCAGGACCTGACAGATCCCAGCACCCATGTAAAAAACTGGCACAGCCCCACACACCTGCAATCCCAGTGTGGGGAAAACAGGTAGATCCTTGATGGCCACCTAGTCAATCATAATCAATGAGCTCCAGATTCAGTGAGAGGTCTTGTCTCAAAAGATAAGGTAGAAGACTGGCTGTTCTTTCAGAGGACCTGGGGTCAATAATGATGGCTCACAAGCATCTGTAATTCCAGTACCAAGGAGTCGCCTGCTGTCTTCTGGCTCCACAGGCATACATGTGATGTACAGACATATATGCAAGCAAACACCCATGCGCATAAAATAAAATTTAAAAATAATTATAAACAATAAGATGGAGATCAATTGAGGCTAATACCCAGCCTCAACCGCTGGGCTGCACATGCATGCATACCTTCTGGACACACACAAACATGTACACACACACACAGTAGGAATAATAATGATAATCAGAGGAAACTGAGCAGGAAGAATACTCAGAGGACCACACCTTACAGTGGTTCCACTGAAGAATGTTTTACTTGATGGGGTTGCAAAGCAGATGTGACTTCCGCCGAAACTGTAGTTCACATTTTGAAGTTGGGTCTTTCTGTGGACTGGGAGTGTCCAGTTCAATACACTGTGGTGACGCTGGACAGCAGGAAAGCCGTAACTCCCTGTCAGCTGTGTGGTCACCGTGGGAAATGCCTCGTGTTCTGTGGATGACTGCTAAGATGACAGCTTACAGGTATACCAGCTCCATCTTCCACAAATGACATTTTCCATGTGGACATGCTAGCCCAATAAGTGGAGGAGCAGCTGGAAAGGGGGTGTTAATATTCTTCAACTCTAAAACTGTTCTGAAAATGAGATTTATTAAAAACAAACAACAAAACAAAGCCTAATAGTGCAAAGTCTTATTCTGACTTCCATCTGTCCTTGGTGCACCCAGTTCTGGTCCCTACCTGCAGGTGTTCTGTATTCGTCCTCTATGGAACCCTCCCAAAAATTCAGTATGCAAGTGTGAGTATATGCTGCTTTTCTTCAAGGGCTTTGAAGGATAGGTAATCACTTTTACTATACAATATTCAAAATCCACAAAGAGAGAAGTGCAACAAGCCCCACAGACTCATCACCCAGATTACAGAGAATTTACTGGCTACATCTCATCTGCTCCTCACTGCCTGGTCCTTTCCCTCTAAAGCCAACTGTAGTCTAGGTCTCTCACATATTCTAGGATGCATCTTTGAACAATATGAACATCTTATATAACCCTATTGCCCACATTCAACCATCAGTGCTATTCTGGTAAGTGTCTGGTGTAGATGGCAGGAGATACTGAGGGTTTTGTGGTGAATTTGTACGTCTGTGTTTCAGGAGCAGTAGGAAATGGTTGGGACTTGGGGGACGTTAAAGCCTGGGGGGCCAATTTCAATGTCTTTGTTGAGGTACAAGGAGATGGGGCCTGATGCCTGATACCTGTGGGATGGAGAAGAGCTACTGGCCAGCCTGGCTTGGTAAAAACTGCCTGGAAGTGATCCTGGCAGATGCAGGGGGCATCGCTGCAGGGTCAGGCAGAGGCTAATCTGTGCCCACAAGTCCAACCGATAAGAGTGAGGGGCTTGAGAGATGGTGCAGAGGTTAAGAGTACTTGCTGCTTTTCCAGAAGATCAAGAAAGTTCCAGCACTCATTAGGCAGCTCATAGCCAGACTCTGAAGCCTTCAAATGCATGTATGTATAAATATACACAGAGCATGTGCACAAATAAAACATAGATTTGTTTTTATTTTATGTATATGATGCTAGTATACATTTCTGTCTACCACATGTGCGTGCCCACCTGAAGAGTATGTTAATTCCATGGAACTGAGTTACAGACAGTTGTGGGCCACCATGTGGGTGCTGGAGATCAAATCTGGGTCTTCTGGAAAGACAGCTAGTACTCTTGGCCAATGGACCATATATCTCCAGTCCCCAAAATACATTTTTTAAAAAGTAAGACCTTGTGGTCAAGGTCCTCTTAGGAGAGTGAGTGACATTTCTCTCTGGCCTGTCTTTTGTTGGGCATAAGTGAGTCAACATCTGTCTCTTCACAACTCATGACACTAGCATGTCAGGACTGTAAGTATGACAGAATCGACCCCACTTCTGCTTCAGATGGGGAATGCAAGGCACAGAGAAGTGGTCAAGTTGCCCGAGACCTTACAGGAAGCGGCGCGGAGCTGGAATTGGGGCCCAGGGCTCTTGACATCTAATCTAGAATCACTCATTTCCAAAACTTCCTCTTCTTTTAAAACCCTGCTCCCACAAAGGATGTGTCACTGGTCATTCATGGTTCACATGAATTAAGTCTTAAAACCCTAGGGACATTTATATACTAAACCTGCTTGCTAACGATAACATAACTACAGAATTCATAGGGCAACTGGCACAGGCCACAAAATGCTAGAAGCATTCCATACATCAGCCCTGGGCTCCCCCAGAGAGGTACTATTATTATCCTACCATATCCTATGACAGAGATGTGCTTGCCTAAGATCACCCAGGGAGGGTGTGTCAGCAGTGATGTTGAACCAAGTCTGTTCGACTGGAAAGTCCACGCTCTCAATCACTAACCCCCGTGGCCTCTTAAGCACAGGCGTGTCTGCCCATGAGGGGGCTGGTATAATTCTGGCCTCCTCCCTCTTTTTGCCCCCACTTAGCAGCCTTCTGCCACTCAGAGAACCAGAGAGGCTACAAACTGCCCCTGATCAGCATCTACTGCCCTCTCTAGGGGCTGGGTACTTCCAAAGGTGATCTACCCCTTCTGTGTTTGGGGTCACCCACGGGTCTTCATGTTTCTGGAAGCTCATGGAAGTTTAAGTCCAGTGCAGTTCATCAGCCGCTGTGTCTCATCTGTCAGGGTTCAGGCGAATGGCACCAAGTGGAGTGCTCAGAAAGGGTGCCTGCCGTCCAGGCAGCCTCTGCTGAGGGTCTGCTCTGGGCTCTGTCACTCAGGCTTCCAGGCTGGAGGCAAAAGTGACCCGGGAAACAGAGTTCTAAGGACAGACCTGGATCCTGAAGAGACAGACTGTACCCTACCCTGGGACATGCCAGAGGGATCTCCAAGGATACTGACGCAGGTGGGTACGGGCCCTTTAGGCGCGGGATGGCTCGTGTGAAGGGCTAAAGCTGAGACCTGTGTGTTGGGTCCAGGAAGGCCAAAGTGGCACAGGCTGCGGTGGACGCGGACGCGGGGCGGAGACTCAAGGTCCCTGGGGCCCATGGCACTGAGCGGCATGCAGTCTGGTAATGTAGAGGAAGCACCCTGCGCCGGCCTCACAGGCTCAGGCCTGCTAGCCTTACGCCGTGCAGGACACCCCGGGGGCACGTTACGGTCAGAGGTAAGCGGCCAACTCGTTGCTGGCCTCCGGATCTGAGGTGTGAGTCCCCGCCGATCGCAACTCTGCGGGACCCCTGCCTGCTCTTCCCTCTCTGCCCTTCCCTTTCTATTCGTTCGAGGTGACCCTGAGCCGAAGTCTTGCAGACTCGGGGATCGGGGATCCCTCAACTCCCCAACACCCACTTGGCCGGCTTGCAGGAGAGGGGGCGGGGCCGGCGTCCGCAGCGCGCGCCCCTCCCCCGCCGCTTAGAGCGCGGACGCGCACGAGCGCGCTCTCACCTGGCCGCTACGGAGACGCCCCGCCTCCTCACTCGCCCCCCACATCGGACCAATCAGAGGTGGCGTAGGCGGAGGGGGGGCGACGCGCGGGGCGGGGCCTACGCAGCCCGCAGGGTGAGCCGAGCGGGTGGCGGAAGGCGGCCGGCTTCAGCAGAGGCGGCGGCGGCGGCGGCGACTGAGGGACGGCGACGCGGCACGCGGGGCGGTGCGACAGGACGGGCAAGGGCTGCGCGGCTCTCCGCAGCCGCCGCCTTGTCACAGCCGGGCCGTAGGGCGCCGCAGCGAGTGCGCGGCCTGTGAGGCGGCCGGAGCGGCGTCCTGTCAGGCGGCGAGGGTGCGGCGGACGGCGGCGCGATGATGCCGGTGGGTGCGGGCGGCGGTGCCGCGTTCCCCGGCCCCCGCGCGAGACGGGCTGGGCAGAGAGGAAGCGACGGGCGGGCGCGCAGGGCGGGCAGGCCGAGGGGCAGGTGGGGGCGGCGGCTGTCAGCGAGCGGGAGGGCGGGCGTGGGCGGGGTCGCGGGACCCGGTACGCGGCCTCCGCAGAGCTGCGGGCTGCGCGGGGCTGCGGTGTGTTTGCCCCTCCCGGCGAGCGACCCGTGCCTCGATTTCCTCTTGGCGCCGTGGGAGTCCTCGGCGGTGGCACCCGGGTGCGATGTTCCCACGCTCGGAACCCACGTTTCCCTTGCACCGGTTGGAACACACGCCTTGCGCGAATTCAGAGAGCCATCTTAGGAATCCCTTTGCCGAGGCTTCCCCTTGGGTACATTTGCTCTACCTGGAGTGATGTCCCTGTGACCTGAAGGTTGAGCCGGTTGTGTGTTGCTGGAGCCTTTGTCCTGTTCTCAAGGATGCTTTGGCCAGGAAGACGCTTTGGGGTTGCCACCCTCCCTGCCTTTTCCTTTACCTGCTATCCAAGCGGCGCTGGATGCTGAATTCTCATATTTTTTTTAAATAGGCTTTTTGTGAAATATTCGTCGTGATTAATGAAGCAAACGTGAGATGGGTTGTACCCAGTTGGACGTATTGTTTTTTTGAGTGTCTTTTGAGTAAAATTCTCAGACATAAAGATTGTTGCTCGTTTGTTTTCGAAGTGCTGGGGATCAAACCTGAGCTTTAAATGGCTAGGCCGGTGCACTGCCACTGAGTTTATATATTCCCAGATTTAAAAAATAAAAAAGTTTAAGTCTCCGGGAAAGATCACGTTTCAGAGGAAGAGTATAGTCTCTGCCTGTTTACTCGAATACTGACTGTCGTTCTGCTGTGCTGCACCCAAGCTCATTAACTTATGTCTCCCCCTTTCAAATAATTTCCTGTTTCTTAATAGCCTATTCTCCCCTTTTTGAACTGATTCCAACCCCTGGTGTTTGTGGAGTTTTAAGATTGACCTTCTTGATCCTTCAATCCTTTGTGTTAGGCTTGTTTAGTTCTGAACATGTTTTTAAACGATTGTCTTGTAGTGGAAAGAGCATGAAATGAACATCAGAAGACCTGGGGTCAAATACTTGTTCTGGTACCTTTTCAGCAATGTGACCTTGGAAGAGTTGAGGTCTGAGCCTCAAATTATCTCTAAAATAGGGGTTAAAAAAAACAACCTGTCAATATTTGAAGTGTGATCCCGAAGATCAACAGGGATGTTTTTCAAAAGTATTAAGCAGAATGCCATGCCATATTTTTAATAAGGCTGAGTTTTCAACTTCTAATTTTAATCTCTTCAAAATATGCTTGAGCATTTATTTCCTCCTTTTTCTTAACTGGCTGGATGTTGAGAAGGTATTCTGGTATTTTGGAATTTTGAAAGCAGTTTTAGCTAAGACTTGGTAGTTATGGTGATAATGCATTTATTTACACTGTAATAATACTGAAGATTATTAAATATTTGGCAGTTTTATCATTGTGTGGTATTTAATTATAAATGCCCTGTTAGGAAGCCTGGGCTGCTTTTTCCATATGTTAGCTTAGACATTTTTACTTCTGTCCGGGTGATTGGAGTTTCCAGGCTATGGGAACAGATTTTACTTTTAAGAAGTTTGTTTAGCCTGGGGGTTGGGATATTTATTTTAAAAACTCAAATAGTGTTTTTTAAAGCAGATCTTTTATTAATTTAACACGGCTTTTGTTTTAAGATACTTTGAGAAACAGATGGTATTTTATTAATCCTTTTTTATATTTCCTTCTTTATGTCTAAAATATTACTTGTTTGGTTGAATCCTTCCTTTAACACAGGTGAAAAGGCTTGTGACTTCAATAGAACTTTTAAGAACATACCTTTTTTTCTTGATGGTATCTTAACGCTATGTGTCGAAGTGGAAATGTGATTTTTCTGGCTTTAGTGTATATTTGGTGTCTATCATCATGGCGAATCATCAAATAAATATTGGTTCTTATTTTGTAGTTGTACAAAGAAGCAGGACTGTTAGATAAAATGTAATAATACACAGTAGGATCAAATGCAATTTAAAATATTCTAGTTAAGGCCGGTGACGTGTAGCCCTGGCTGTCCTCTGTAGATCAGGTTGGTTTCTAACTCAAAAGGTCTGCCTGCCTTTGGCTTCCAAGTGGCTGTTTCCTTTTTAACCGAACTTTGTGTGAATCCCTTGAAAGTACACATTCACGGCACACTTTGGGTGGACCAGCACATTTCAAGTGTTTACTGTCCCATGTAGAAAGATGGTGGTTACCAGATTGGCCAATGCAGATTTGAAACTTACTGATGAGTGTGCAGTGTTGGTCTGTGGTGACTTTTAACTGATCAGATGGTTTAACACTGCACAGGATCTCAGCTGCTGAAAGCTAATGAGAGTATCTGGCCAAAAGTTCTCATCTGACAAGTCTTTGTAAAAGCCATCTGTCTACTTGTTACATAAACCCAAACCTTTAACCACAGCACTTGGAAGGTAGAAGTAGAGACATGATTTCTGTGAGTTTGAGGCCAGCCTGGTCTACTTAGTGAGTTCCAGAACAGCAAAGACTGTTAAACAGATAAACCCTGTCTTGAAAAACTGAAAAATACAAAAATGTTTTGCCTAATATTCCCAAAGGACTCTACATCCTACTACAGAGATATTTACTCATCTGTGTTCATTGCTGCTCTATTCATAATAGCCAGAAATTGGAAACAGCCCAGATGTCCATAAATGGATAATGAAAATTAACAGAGTGGACTATTACTAAGCAGTTAAGAAAAATGATATTCTGAAATTTGTAGGTAAATGGATGGAGCTAGAAAAAAAAATTGTACTGAAAGACATAACCCAGGTCCTGAAAGTCAAATATCTGTTATATCTGGATGTTAACTCTAATCTTTCAGTATGTATGTTACATTCCACACAAATTGGGTACCTAGGGAGGGAGGGAAGGATCTCCTAAAGAAGGGGAAATAGAGTATAGTATTATGGAGGGACAAAGGGGAAAACTAGAAGAGAAGGATTAAGTAGGGAGGGGGAAGGCAGAAAAGGGTAAAGGAGGGGATATAGAGAGTTACCACTAACACTAAAGGCCATTTGAAAAACCATATGGAACTACTACTCTAGAAGCTTCCTAAAATACAGACATATATGAAAGGACTCTGGATGGAGTCACCAAATAATAGGGGCAGACAGTGCACCAACTAGACATCTTATACCACCAAGTAGACCCTCCTTTGCCAGGAGAAGATGACGTCTTATTTAATTGTTGGCCAAAGGAACCCCATGGAACCCCCCAAAGCCAAGGCTATTGGTTACTCTGTACAGTTTGATGGTAAGGCCCGATTGCTGAAGACACACTTAGATCATAGAACGTGAAGAAGTAACTAGAAGCTTTACTCCTACTGATAAACAATTATGGTACTGGAAGGTACTCTGCAGGCTACTGGAAGAGAAAGGTAATCATCAGTATCACTTAGCTACAATCTCTGAGACCTACAACAGTGATCAGCCTGTGAGATATCCTAGTGCAACAGTGGCGCAAATGTTATGAGAGTAACCACCCACTAGACCCACTCCATGAGATGAAACCCTTCCCTGATACTGCTAACTGGCTAAGAACCCGCGCCTAGATAGGTCACAGTTCAGGGGAAAATCTACTATTATTCTGTTAAAAGAACAGCAGTATAATGACTTCTAATGACATACTGCTATATCCATAGATCAGCACCTCACTCAACCCACATCAGAGAAGCTTCTATTTATAGTTGGTGGGAATTAACACACAGCTGAACAGTGTACAGAGAGACAGAGATACTAGAGCACTTGGTCCTAAATGGAATGTTTTTATCAAGCCCTTCAGTTCAGGGCTCAGGAATTATGCAGAAGAGGAAGCAGAAAGATTCTAAGAACCAGAGGTGATGGATAACACCAAGGATTGCCTGTTTTCTGGACACATCAGGACTGATGCACATATGAACTCATAGAGACTGGCAACAGACAATAAGACCTGCATAAGTACAAACCAGACAGGGTTCCAGCACTGAGAGGAGCAAGTGAACAATAAGGTTATACCCCTAACCAAGAGGCCACCTGCAATTGATACTATATACTGGCAGAGGGAAAATCAGTTTTGTTTTTTTTTATATTTATTTATTTATTATGTATACAATGTTCTGTCTATGTGTATGCCTGCAGGCCAGAAGAGGGCACCAGACCTCATTACAGATGGTTGTGAGCCACCATGTGGTTGCTGGGAATTGAACTCAGGACCTTTGGAAGAGCAGGCAATGCTCTTAACCACTGAGCCATCTCCCCAGCCCCCGAAAATCAGTTTTTTTTTTTATCAGTGGACTCTCACTGGAATATATCAACCACCCTTTAGGGTAGACCTCACACTCAGTAATTAGCCAATACAAAACAAACTCGATGGTGTTTTGTGGACTTTTCTTTTCTTTTTTCTTTTTTTTTTGGTCCTACTGGTCTTTTGCTTGATTGTTTTGATTTTCATTTTTGTGAGATTTTGTGTGTTTGTGTGGTGTGAGTGTGTGTGCACACATGCGTGCTTGTGTGCTTTTATTGTTGAAGGAGAAAATAAAGTTGGTGGTTATGGAGGTGAGAAGGATATGAGAGGAATTAGAGGAGGGGAAAACATGATCAAAATATATTGTATGAAAATTTCTTTTCAGTAAAAAATAAATCCATTTCCTATCCTTGCTCCCCAAATAAGTTTTGTCTATGAAGCTGGAGAGATGGCGTATCTGTTAAAAGCACTGGCTGTTCCTCTAGAGGACCACATTTGATTCCCAGCACCCAAGTAGAAGCTCTCAATTGTAACTCCAGTTTCAGATCTAACACCTTTTTCAGATCTCTGTGATTACCAAGCATACATGCGGTACACAGACATGAATGCAGGCAAATATTCACATAAAACTCCTTTTAATGTTTGCCTAAGGGAAA